ATGATCGTGATGCGATCATGATGATCGTGATGCGATCATGATGATCGTGATGCGATCATGATGATCGTGATGCGATCATGATGATCGTGATGCGATCATGATGATCGTGATGCGATCATGATGATCGTGATGCGATCATGATGATCGTGACGAGGTAAGCATGATGATCGTGATGTTGGTGATCGTCGATGAATGTTGATGATGATGACTCACCACCTCCGAGGTGATCTTTTACGGGTGTGAATGCACTGACCATACTGTCACTCTCTGAATCGATGCCTGATCGAGTCAGTCCCTGTGATGATATGAAGTGGAACTCACTGATGTCTCCCCAATCGCGTAGTGGTCCCGGTGTAGATAAGCTGAGGGGATTATTTCTTCCCCACGAGGGTGATTCAGGTCTCCTTCCTGAATTGTGTCATCACTTCATATCGACACCATTCATGACGATCATCACGACGATCTCCACATCATGATGATCATCATTGCGATGATCACCACGAAGATCACGATGTCGATCATGGCGATCATCATCGCGATCACATGACACAGATGACGATTCGACTTGATCTCACCCAGCCTCGGCGATGGATCAGGAGACACCGTATTCTCCGATGTATCGATCGACGGCCGCCGCAGATCCATCTCCTCCTGCCTCCTGTACGCATCCAATGCATCCTGCCCTCCTCTCCTCCCGATGGTGACGTAACTCGCCCACGACTTCATGTCGTCATGACTGACGCTCCTGCGAGATTTCCGTGAGATTTCGTCTGAGTCACGTGACCCACTTGGAGATGTCGGGTGAGAGATTGTCGTACAGGGCGGAGAAATTCATGAGAAAAGAAGAACCCATGGATAGATTGCAAGAGCCAGATTCGAAAAAGTATTGATCTTCTCTCTCTAAAGCTAAGACGATAGCAGGCCGTTTCAACATCCTCCACGCATCGCGGATGGCTTTCTTACCCTGTCATCATAATCAGTGAAATTCCGATGAAATCTCGTCGATCTACAGTGTTGTAGATGGATCACCTTCGAATACATAGATTGCCCGCAGAGTTGTTCGAGTGTGCGTAGTGTGGCACCGGGTGTATTGAAGTAAGAGACGATGATGTCTTTCAGTGCAGATTCTTCCGTGGAATTTTCTTCGGAAAGCTCGATGGAATCTTCTTCTTCCTCCATGCCTCCGTGGAGAATCTTCAGATCGGTAATGTATTCAGACATCGTCTCCGGCTGAATGAAATCATTACATAAATCATTGAAAGTCCATCTACAACGATGTAGAGGAGTGTGATATGCGTGGACGATTTGTGATGTCTCACCGTTCGACCCGTGATATCTTCGACCTCTTGGATATTCTTCAGCTTGTCGATCTTGTCGAGTTGTAGACTGATGTCCTTGCGAAAAATCTACAAAATAAAAGGTGAGAAGACGTGGGAGCATTCTATTGATTTCACCTGACGATTCCCTGATTTGAATATCTCGGTCACCTTTTCAATTTTAAATTCGTTTCGAATGCGCCAGAGATTGAAATCCTCACTTCAGAGAAACTCTGCAAGAAATCTTCAAAGTGGCACATGATCTTCTTTGGATCTCGCGTGATGTAGCTGATGCAGATGGGCCTCACGTAACCTCTCGCGTATAGATCTAACAGGTTGAAGTGATGGACCTCAAGTCATTGTCAGTTCCGTATGAGAATGGATGGCTCACATAAGCGGTGGCACCCTCTTTGTGTTCGGATAGAACCACTTGCATGTCTTTCGTGGAGGTGTTCTCCACTGTGACGCGTGAACATCGTAACGTGACGTGTGGGATGATATGATGGTGATAGAAATGCATCCATCGCTCACCGATGTCACTTCCTTTGTTTTGGTTATCCACTGCCATAATACGTAAGACAAACTCGTTCACATTGAAAGCTCCGGCCCCTCCTTCGGGTACAGTAAATAGAGGTATGGGACCCTCTAACTCTGAGAACTCGCTGATCAGGATGAAATCATCCATAAAAGAGGGTTCATTCGATCTACATCATGTAAACAAATCGACAGATTCAAATGACATCAAGATCGACGTTACACCTGGAAGCCGTATTCGAAGGTTGATCCAATTGACGAAGAGAAGATGCGTTCTCTGCATCTGTGATGGATGGTTAGCGAAATGAGATGGACAACACGAGATGTACGTCAGCACCTGAATCGACATAGTTCTGTTCGTCTACTCCCATTAGAGGTGTTCTGTGTCCATCAAGTCGCTCCCGATGATCGAACTCGGACCGAGTGTGGTGCTCTACAAACGCCAACCAACATCATCCAACCCCAACTACAAAGAGCCCCTCCTGCTGTATCCCCAGCCTCTCTATCATAAACAGAAGACTTCTGAACATTCTACCATTTATCATGAGAGTCGCGACTCGTACACTTCAGTGAACCAAAGACATGCTGACAACCAGATAGCCAGATATCACGCGACATAACCTCTTATCCTTATATCGATACATCTCTATAGAAGGCCCGGTGTCTGCGTTCCCCTCATCGTTTGTAAGCAACCGAGTTTTCTCTTCTCTGTGTCACTCTATCACCATCAGTCCAAGGAAAACTCATTTGCACGCGAAATTTCAGTTATTGAACCCCACAGAATTCAACAGCCGCCCACCTCCACCACGGGGACGTTGTCCAAATATTTAGGATCACGCAACGCACAACATCACCGCAGCCGACATAGAGGCCGCGATCATCGAACGATAACGCCAACGTGAGACTCGGAGCATATTTTCGTAAATATCTGAAGACCCTCCAGGACGATAACTCACACAACAGACAACATGCAATCACAACATTCCATCGAGTCATTGCTTCAGATCGTACTGAACAATGTACTCATCGAGTCGACTGGAGAGGGAAGATACAGAGTGCATTATCATACCCAATCTCCCCTCACGGCTGCGGCCATCTGGTGTCTAGCTCCGGATCCGAAGCCCACAGTCGAATTCATCAAGTCCGAGGATTTCTCCTCCAACACAGGGTGTGTGGGACAAGGTTTGATACCTGAACTGAACCTCTCCAGAATGCCACAGGAACAGAACGGCTCCTTCGCCATTCCTCTCCTTGTCGGTTCTAAGATTCAAACTCAATTGGAGGACAATCATATGGCCGAGGTCGGTAGCCGTCCGAAAGACCGACATCGACTGATTCGTGCAGTTGTCGGCTCTCATCCCTGCCATCGCCTCTTACCAACAGAACGGCTTTCAACCCCAGCTGATGGAATACATTTCAAAGAGGGCATTCGACAACATGATGTACCTCACGAGCACCAACTCCCTCACAATCGCCGATCTCTATCTTTGGGAAGTCATCCGAGGACAGAACTTCAGATGGAGGAGATACTCTGCATCATTCGGACCTGCGCTTGAAAAATGGCTGTCCCAGTTCGAAACATCTCACCCCGATCTCGTTCACGCCACAAACAAGGTGACGAAAAAGCATCACGAGTCATTATTCACACGCCACGCAGGCACTCGATCAGAGCGCGGCCGAACACAATCCCCAACTCATCGAGTACTCCTACAACAATGGCAGTTCTCTCAAAAATATGCTGAGAGAGTCGGACAAGTTCTATCGACCTCTGCGAAAGGAAGCTTCTGTCGGTGCTCTGCGATGCACCATGGACGACAGTTTAGTGAAGCCTTCTTGGTGGAGCGAGACCAAATGAGAACACGAGCCACTCATGTCACATCTTTCCGGCCCTTCACTACAGTGTATATAGTAGAATAAACGATACTTTTATTTAAAGAGGTGTCATCGTGTGAGATGAATTCCAAATCACGATGGAATTCAGATGGAGAGACGTTATCTGTTTCGAACGGCAGCTCACATCTCTTCAGCCTTACAAAAGCGTCGTCATTCGACGCATCATACAATGCCCGTCCTTGTCTTCATAGAGGAGATGTTCATATTCATATGAAAAGTGCGCCCTCTGCGTGGATGTCAACTCCGTCCACTGGTTTCCCTCTTCCAAACTCCGGAAGCCCACAGAACTCACCCCACCCTCTCATCACAATCAACAACACACCACAGTTACCAACATGAAAGTATTACTAGCCACTCTAGCCCTTCTTGCCATCGTCTCCGCTCAGAGCGCTGCGTTTGAAGATGGTGATTCCGCTGCCGAGTACTCATCCGATTACGTCGAGAGGATCAAGGCCATCGCTGGCATTTTCAACGCCGGCACGAACGACGTCGATGATAGAGGACTCCTGTCTGACATCAACATCATTGGAAACTTCATCGGAGGAAAGAAGAACAGAATCGATGCCATCAACGACTTTGGAGGAGACTTCTCCGGTGAGCGTCTCGCATACGTATAGACGATGAAGGCGATGCTGACGATGATGCACAGGATTTGGAAAGAGAAACTTGTTTGACGTTACCGGAAGCGATGACCAGCAGACCACCGACCGTCTGTTCAACGTCCTCTTCCCCCAGAGAGCCAGAGCTGCTGCCCGCGTCGCCAGAATGGCAAGAGCCGCCAACATGTACTGTGAGTGATACGTCCGATCGTCCACCGTCTGATCGGCATGATGCAGCCGCTGTCGCCAAGAGATTTGGAGCCAGCTACGATGACTTCTCTCTCCTCAGAGATCTCGATGTCATTGGTAACTTCATCGGAGGAAAGGAGAACAGAATCGATGCCATCAACGGTTACAAGGGAATCGGCTCCGGTGCCTTCTAAATGTACGAGGAGATAAATCACCACGACGCAATATTGTGATCAAGCTATAGTGTCATCGCAGCGTTCGTTGTCTAGTCTGTGATGCACAAAGGATGAACGTCAATCTCCATACAAGAAACGAAAGTCGTATCAGTCGCGTATCATCAGCATTCCGGTGAAATTCGTGACACCCTTGATATTCTTCATTTGTCAGCTACTCCATTTATGCAGGGTAATCCTTTGTGATGTCTAGCTATACCTGTAGGCATGCGATCTCTGTACCATTATCAGCATCTGGCTCCTTGGCCAAGTTGGCAAGGCGCTTCCCTAGTAAGGAAGAGATCACGAGTTCGAGTCTCGTAGGAGCCTTTCTTTTCTATTTTTAACAAAATTTAAACCATTTAATGGTGCATTGAGAATGGATCGCTTCTCTCCCGACTACTGGAATATGCACGACAAAAAATTAGTGATCCAAATGGGTGGACACCAACCAGAAAAACCAAATCAAATCATCATGAACAGGTTTGAAGCTACTCGTTCACCAGACTCTTAACTCTCAACGCACAGACACTATCCGTTTATACATCCTCTCCTTCTTCCTTCGAAATGCACTGATTCTCGTTCGATTCTTCTCTCGTTTCTTCTTCTGCTGATAATGTGATGGTCGAATCATCCATCTTCCTCAGAGATGCCGATGCCGCGAAGACGATCGGAACCTTCTTTAATTCTGAGTTCTCTCTCGATCTCTCCGGAGTGGGAGGTCTCTTTCTGGAGAAGATGTAGAGGACGCAACCACACAGGGCGAATTCTTCAACTGATCGACAGGTTAGACGATTGCGTTGATGAACAGATGACAGCGAGATGTGATATGATGAATCAGATGATGTGATGTGGAGTGATTGGGTTGACATCATACTCACATCGTATCGATGCATGTATGGCGATATACCACCATCGATTGCTGCCGAGAATGAGGAACAAGACAGCGCTCAAGGCCGACAGCACGAAGATGATGGAGCACAAGATCATGTGGTTCAGAATCTATCACCAGTCAGTGTTCTCTCTTGCATACGATATGCCATTCACCTTCTTGAGGAACACTTTTAAATGATTTAATTTGGGACTCTTCTGAAACATTCGTCTGAGACCAATCCCAAAATAGATCGTCATGGAAACGAAAGCCAGAATGACGAGTAGAATGGCAATGTTATACAAGTAGAGGATAACCGTTGAGTCCTGGAAGATGGAGAACGCGATGCAAGTGGGGATGAGTAGGACGTAAGATAGACCCAATAGAAAGAAGGAGTACAATCGCTTGTGTTTGAAACTGGATAATTTTGCCGTTTCGACTAATTCCATCCTGTTCACGAGTGAGTCGTGTTGTGATTCGATCGAATCACAACACGATCGGAAATGAGAATGAGATCGATGAGATTACCAGTAGATGGCGACGCAGAACAAGACGCTGCACCAACAGATGAAAGCGACGGAGAACAACATCTGATAAGCTGCTGCGGGTAGAATGCCTCGTATAGTATGGACGTCGATAGAGAATAGAAGGATTCGAACTGAAATAGCCGTAAGAACATTAAGTTGTAATGGAACGCAAGAGGTCTATGGACTCACGAAAAGCGCCGATGGCGATGAGGCAGATGCTGTATGCTACGACCTTGTGACTCAACCAGATCGTGAATCCAATCTTGTACATCTGGATGCCGATCCATCCGAGGAGGATGACGAAGAGAGAGAGTGTGTAAGCCATGTAGATATTGACGAAGATCATGAATCTGAAGTGGTTAGGGAGGAGAGACCTCATATCATTCACTTCGCATCGTCCCGCCAAGGTGTTTCACACGTCGGGCCGTCGTAATAGTAAGAACATTTGCAGATCTGCGTCGTCGTGGAGTTCGGGCCCGTCTAACGTGAATCAGATCAGAAAATGAACAGGAGGTATACCCCCTCTACGCATGTCCCTCCATTCTTGCAGTTCAGCGTGCAATCAGAAGACACCACAGCGATGAAGAAGATCAGGAAGCAGGTGACGATCCGCATGCGAAGCTTTGTGTTTATGAGAAAAGACAAAGGAACAATGGCCCACGGCAACGTGCACACGAAAACAAGTGTATTAATACGACAAGCTTTATTCTTGTGAAAGCTGAAATGAGCGTTTCTCTCAGCATCCGCCTCAGTTGGTTAAGAGGTGACCTACCTGTTCAGCTCTTGGTGTATGAGACGATGCCGGCCTTGGTAATGGATGGGAAAAGAGATGAGAGGGACAGAAGGAGATAAAGAGAAAAAGAAAGGCTCCTACGAGACTCGAACTCGTGATCTCTTCCTTACTAGGGAAGCGCCTTGCCAACTTGGCCAAGGAGCCAGATGCTGATGCGAGCTGCGCTCATAAAGGCATACATGTATGTCACATTTTTGGGTAAACGCAAACGATCGCACGACTGATGCAAATCAATCATCATTGGACAACCTTCATAACCGTGGTTTCTTTACTCCTCCCAATGTCATCTTCACAGGCTTCATGGAAAACTTGACCGTGCTCGTTGCTGCTGGAGGAGGAGGTGGTGGTGCAGCGTCTGTCATCTCCACATCTGAACTGCTGCCGCAAACGTCAGAGACACATCGAAATGGATGATACCTCGATGCCGGTGGTGGTGGCGGTGGAATTGCGGGAACGTTCGCCTTATTCTGAGCGTTTGCCTTCTGCATGAGTGCTTCCAATTCTCTATCGACGGTGGGTTTGGCGACAGGCTTGGCGTTTCGCTTGTTCATCTGTTGCATCTCTTTGAAACGCTGAGAGCGATTAGAATCTCGAACTCATCGTGTGTTATGATGTCTACACGATCACGTGATGATGATTCGGATGATGATGTGATGAACGATCAGATGACAATCGAAATGGATCCTATGACATTAGACTGTACGTTCAACGAAACATGATGACATGATGAGAATGATGTCGAATGGATGAATTTCTCACGTGCTTGTGGCCGTGTTCGTACGAATTGAAGTGTGCTTGTAATTCCATACTATTCTTGTACTGTTTCGAGCACCTGATGAAAATGAATGAAAGACAATGTACCATGCTCACAGGTCACAGCGGAAGCTCTCTCCTATCTTTGTCAATTCGTCTTCTAATTTTGTCTGTTTTTCGACCAGAACCTACTCTCAATCATTCTTCTTTCATCACACGATACGATGATGCTGCCATCGATCATCGTGACATCAGCGACAATGTCACCTCTCTCTTCTTGACCGTCTCTACCGTATCTTCTACCTGAAGAGAATGTGTCACGATCACATCGATGATGTCCAGATGATGATCACCTCTCCCAACATGCGCGGTCGTTCTATATTTTCCGTGTACGATAAATCCTGATCCAACTTTCCGAGTCCTAACTTTCCGATCGTCGCGCTCAGTCGGACTGGATCGACGATGCCTGGACGTCTTGAGATGATGATGATTCACATTCCGTGGCATCGATCACCTCTACTACCGCTTCCCAAGCCGGTGTCCTTCTTCCATCCCATCTTGAGCATGAGTTGATAACCTTTGTTGGTGCTGCCGAGGGGGGTATCCATCGAAATCTGCTGGAAGCTGTCTGCAATGGAGTGAGTGGGAATGAACGGATGAAATCGAATCACTCGTGTCCAAGTCTTTCGTGATGCGGTGAGTGATGGGTAGACTGAAATCGGTGTCCACATCTTCTTCCTCTCGCTGATGGAGATGAATCGATGTGAGCCTGATATCTCGTACTCACTTTAGATTGTTCTCTGTGCGACATTCTGGCCACGTAGCTGTTGTTCACACCAGAACCATATCCGACTGAGCATAAAGGTAAAAAATGACGACACACGTTTCATCTGCTCGTTGCAGACACTCACGGTTCTTATTCGTCGCCATAGCTGATGATCGAGTGATCTGTAATCCGATCCAGCTGATGTTTTATTCTCAAGCATTGACTTGTAGACAGCATCGTAAATCCTGGCGGGAAATTCAAATTCTCAACCCACCCAACTATGGACACCACAGCAGATGAACCACTCAGTCCAGTGAGCATCGCGTATACAGAAGAAGAGTATGAGATGACCTATCAACAATACTTTCTTCACATTGCAGAGAAGAAGGTATGAATCGAGTCGATTATGGACGAAATCATGCCACAGCTCACGATGAGATAGATTCAAGCGATGGAAAGTTATGTAGAGAATCGCATCAGAGAATATCAGAGCGAGGCAGACAAAGTTCGACAGGACTTTAAAGAACGATTTTGTGTCGAAGAGTTATAAAACATGTATATCCATACTATCCTCTCAACGATAAACATTCTCCTTTTCAATCGAGGAATCACATTGAGCCGTCTCTATGTTCACATGGGGACGGTGTCGGAGCGGAGACGTCATCGTCCACGAGGAAGACTCTTCCACAGTAGAGGGATGGATGAAAGAAGCAAGGTCATGGAAGTTTGGTTGGTTTTCACGCTCACACCTGTTGGAGAGCTTGCAAACGACATTTTTGTCATGTGTTCATCAGTCATAATTGAGAGTGTGTATCTCCTACCTTCATCACGCTTAGGTACACCGAGGGAGACGGAGGGTAGATAGGTTTCAGATGCTAGGTTGGCTATACTTGACTGACGTCTGACACGAACAACAGCCAGGACAAGGTTTTGTTCTGTTCGGAATGTTTCATTCAGCAGCAGTCCAACCATGAGGTACATCCTCTTCTTTGTATTGGTCCACCTATGTATAGCCCATGAACAGCATCCGTTGGCTATATTCAGAAGAGAAGTCTCGACAGCGACTGCCATCGTACCGTCCATCAAGATGGTGGCATACGTGAGATGATTTCTCTGCCATGGATTGACAGACACCAGCCGACGCTTTTAACCACTTCTCCCGCTTGGGTGACTCTCAACATCACCGGAGTGGCAAATCCGACCGAACAAGATACAGTTGGCATCTTCTCCCCAGGAGTCATCGACATCTATAAAACGTCTCCCGTCCGTCTCTTGTATGGATCGAGGTTTGGAGGAAACTATCTCAAGACGGGAAATGCATCCATCCGTCTTCTCATCAACAATCTGAGAGAGAATGTCACCTTTGGACTCTTTTTGAACAGTGAGAAGAGCCTCCATCTCCGATCTCACACCAGCAGATTCGAGAACATGGATCGCCGCTAACAAGAAGATACTCTCTGCAACTTCCAATGGCATCTCTTTCAAGAACCCACATCTTCCCAGCCAAGTTCGTCTTTCTCCATTTCCCTCCTCCTTTGAATGATTGATGTTAATCGCAGATACACATCAGCAGTACCGGAAGACCTGGAGAGATGAGGGTCATGTGGACAACAGGAACCG